TTCCCAGTGGATAGACTCTATCAAGGAAGCTACAGTGCTGAGTCTGCAAGAGGCAGTCACACTTTAAATGCTGTGACTGCCTCTTGCAGAATTCTGGGGCTTGTAGTTTAGGGAAAGGCCTTTAAACTGCTCCTCCAAAGAAGCCCCGGGCTTACCTAAATTACAAGCCCCAGAATTCTGCAAGAAGCAGTCACAATATTTAAAGTGGATTGAAGTGGGAAAATGTTCAAGTGTGATGAGGCCCTAGGAATCATACTGTCAACTTTGTATCAACTTTGAGAAAACCAAGAGAACACCTTATATAAATACCATTTTCATTCTTTTATTTTCTCATATCCATAGTCAAAATTGAAAGCAAAGATTAAATGTTGAATTCCACATTTCATGTTACCTTCCCAACAACCTAGCCTTGTTTCTTCTCTGTATAGTGGGAATATTCAAAATGCTTAATAACTGCATTTTCTTATCATTCCTAGCTTCTACATTTCTTCTGCACACATTTATTACTTCTTATTTTCAGACAGCATCTGACTGCACTGAATTAATCGAAGTATTCTGAAAATGCATATGAACAATCATGCTGGATTAAGCTATGGGCATCTTGCCTAGTCTTCTCGTATTCACAAAGTGGGCAATTGGTTGCTTGTGTGAAACCTGCCACCGGAATATGAATGCAATTGTCCTCCACCTCACTTTCCTCAGAAACTGATATGCAGAAATGTATGCTGACCTTGCTTATCAAATTCTTTGGCAGGAAATATGAGTTAACTAGAAAGCATGCTGCAAAAAAGAGTTCTCCAGTCCTCAGATGCAGTTTGAAATTATGGAACTCCAAGCCAAGAGTTGGTATTTATAATATCCTCTATTACTGTGAAAGAAAATGAAGGAGCTCAGGATTTCAAGGATTTGTTGGGCTCTATCCTCTGAAGATGTCAACGTGATGAGAGAGGGGATAAAATATCAATAACAAATATAGTCTTCATTTAATGAGCCATTTCAAATAATAGTCAAATAAAAGGAGCTTGCAGTTTCTGAACAGCAATACTTACTTTACTTAGGGAAATCCCCCATTGTCCAAGTATGACGGCCTTCCAAGAGTAGTGTCCTGGCGGTGTATATATAGGTGACTGTGGAGCCCTGTTCTTGATCCGAATGTTTTTCCATAGTGAGGGCATCAGTTTCTAGGTGGAAGACTCTCCCAGTCAGGGTTGGCTTGACACACCTTCCTCTTGGCACATTTCTCCCTTTCGCCCTCTTCAAATTCCACAGCACTGCTGGCACAGCTGACCTCCAGCTAGAGCCATCAACGGCCAGGGCTTCCCAGTTCTGTGTCTATGCCACAGTTTTTAAGGTTGGCTTTAAGCCGATCTTTAAATCTCTTTTCTTGTCCACCAACATTCCATTTTCCATTCTTGAGTTGGGAATATAGTAAATGCTCTGGGAGATGATGATCGGGCATTCGGAATATGAGCCAGTCCAGCGAAGTTGATGGCGTAGGAGCATCGCTTCAATGTTAGTGGTCTTTGCTTCTTCCAGCAAGCAGACATTTGTCCATTTGTCTTCCCAAGAGATTTGCAGGATTTTTCAGAGGCAACGCTAATCGAATTATTCCAGGAGTTGAGTGTGACATCTGTAGACAGTCCACGTTTTGCAGGCAGTGATAATCACAGGCAAGAATAGAAGATTCAACTGTAGCCATGAAGCAATTCGTTGAAAACAACTGCTATACATGACTCCTCCCTTTCACAACTTAGATAATGAAAAGCCTGCAAACATAAAAGGAAAGGAGAATATGCTATTTCAATGCCTCACTTGGTATTTGTCTTGAGAATACTTCTGTGGGACAGAGGAGTAAACATGAAAATAAATAGGGCTGTAGCATAAACCGGACCTCCATGGACCAAGGCAATACATCTTTAAGTACAACAAGATGTTGAAAATAATGGGAAACAGAATACTAGGAATCGTGACCATATCTTCCTACTTAAGGAGAAGAAAGTAGAGGTATCATTGATTTGTGTCAGAATACCAATCAGTTTTGAGTCTGCTATTTAACATGAGAAAGTTGCTCTAGTTCAGGGTGTAAAAGGGAAAATAAGCTGGGGAAAACAGAGTGTATTTTTGTACAAAAGCATTGTGAGCTCAGTTCCACTTCTGAAAATAAACTCTTGTGCTGGACTTCTCTCCAGGGGAAACTTAAAATAATTCTTCTGGTGTAAGCTTCATCCATTTTGATGTGGTTCGCATATGAAAAATGTTTTCAAGAAGCCCACTCAGAATAGGAGAAAGAGTATAAATGAACTGCCTGCAAGATGGCTTCTCTAACAGAGCAGCCAAACTAAATTCTTCTGAATGAATTGCATTAGATGATCATACCAGGGCACTTAATTCATTTCATTAGACCCCATGGGCTGTTAAAGACCCCCAAAGCCTTAACAGACCCAGTAAGACAAGCAGAGCAGACAATGCAATATTTAATAAAACTCAAATTAGGTCTCAGAAGAGCAACAGCAAGTATATTAAATATAGCCTCAACACTTTGCTGCTCTGCTCATCTGCATGTGTTCGAAAGGAACAGCTATCTAACACACACTATGTTTTAATGTTGTTGCGCACAGATTACTCTGTAGCGGCCACAGCACGACTGAGGAGGTGTGAGTAGCTGAAAGAAGAATAATAAATGGTGTAGGGATGTATGGGGAAAATGTGATAGCTTCCTCAAGAGGCACAATTATATGTACGTGTAACATAATGAACCAAAAGCTTAAGGATGCACAAGTGCAGTTATGCATACTCCTATTACTTTCTCTGACCTCTATCAAAACGCACATTTTGAGATCTTACTTCAGTTACTGTGGCTTCAACCTTAGCTAGCTTTCACCTGTCCTTTTGCTTTAGGAGATCCCAAAGGTTTGCCCCAAGTATTTGTGACCACTGGATCAGCCTGGAAAAGTTAAGGCTGCTGTTCTTCCCCTGGAACTCTGATATCAGAAATACTCTAAAATTCTACATATGGGTGGCTGCGAAAGGAACACCTTTGCTTTCTAGGGCTTTTGTGTGCACATACCTTTGTTCGGTGTGCCAAATTATTAAAAATATTGCTTACAAAATTATAGGGAGGTGATGAGTATAATAAGGTGTACATGAAATGTAAATGAATTTTGTGTTCAGACTTGGGTCCCATCTCCAGGCTATCTCATTAGGTAAACATATAAAATACAGGTTTTTAAAAAAAACTAAAAAAATCAAATGCAAACTCAAAAACACTTCTGATTTGGAGCAATTCAGAAAAGAAATATTCAACTTGTATTGTTTTAATAGTGATGTTATCCCAATCCGAACAAATCATGGCCTGTGGGAAAGTGGTAAAACCTACAGGTATTTAATTCAGCAACAGTATTTTTGAGAAATGTATAGGTACAGTGTATTTATGTTGATCTCATGTGCCTTACAGAGTATGCAAAAAAATTGCAGGACTGCTTATCTCTAATCCCATTTTAGCCTAGGTTTAAGTCTTGGTTCCTTTTTGACGGAGCCGTCAACTAAAAAATTTAGCACACTGTAATCTAGACAGATCTACACAGCAATCCCATTCAACAAGGCTTGGTGTTGCTATTGCCATTAGGTGCTTTAAGTTGACTCTTGACTTAATGGTTATCTCATCATAATGGTTTTTGTGGCAAGATTTATTCAGTGGGTTGCCAAGGCATATCCTCTGAGGCTGAGTGAATGTGATTTCTGCAAAGTCAATCACTGGCCAGAAAGTTATTTTTGTTCTTTACAATATGTTCTGTCTACTTGATATTTATGAAACAAATTGTAAATTTTTCTTTGGTTTTGCTGTGGCTTAATTCCAGGTCTCCATTGGAGACCAAAATCTATGGATACTCAAGTCCCATTATATACAGTGAAGTAAAATGGTAACACAAACAAGTGGCAAAAAGAGCCTGAGGATCTTTGAAATTGTAGGAAGCCCCAGTGTAGTGCTCAGTGCACAGCAAAAATCCAGGTTTACATTTTGGAATTATTATTTTCCTGTATTTGAGGTTGAATCCATGGATGCAGAATTTGCAGATATGAAGAGCCTTATACTTGAAATACTACCCCATACTGGCGCCCACTTTACATGAAATGAGGAAGTGTAGAAGACAAAGAAGGCTAGCAATCAAGCTGGGCTAAGGGAACATACTACCCCTCTTGTGAAACAGCTCCACTGGCTGCTTGTTTGTTTCTGGGCACAATTCAAAATGCTTGTTTTAACTTACAAATCCCTTTACAGCCTCATACCAGGATACTTGAAAAAGTGTATCCCCTATGTATCTGGAAGGCAACTTTGACCGAGTAGGGGGAGACTGCGGACACCTCCACAACCATCCCATATGCAGCTTAAAGCTACTCAAGAATGTATGTCCTTCACAGTTTGGGGAAAATAGAATCTTGACATTTGGGAGTTGTAGTTGCTGGGATTTATAGTTCACCTACAATCACAGAGCATTCTGAATCCCACCGACGATATAATTGGGCCAAACCTCCCACACAGAACCCCCATGTGGGCCACAGCAACACGTGGCAGGGGACGGCTAGTAGTACAATATAGTAATACTTAATACTGATATTGTACTATGCTAATACTATAATATATTGTATGTATATATGTTGCAAACCGCTCTGAGTCCCCTTTGGGGTGAGGAGAGCAGCATATAAATGTGAGAAATAAATAAAATAAATATTTATGCATAGCCATCTTGTCACCTCTCAGCATTCTCTTCTGCAGGCTAAACATTCCCAGCTAAACATATCTGGCCTCAGGGCCCAGATACTGAACGTAACTACTACCTCCAAAAGAACTGTGGGGGCAGGTGAAAAGCATGATTCAAAATGGGATTTCCCAAAAGGAGAACCTGGTGCTCTGAGGAGACTGAAACTCTGCAAACCCAAGCCCCGCCCCCTCGGTCCCCTAGCCCCGCCCCCTCGGTCCTCAAGCCCCGCCCCCCGCGCGCATGGGCCTAGATGGGAGCTCTTCGGCCTTCTGCTCAGGACTCCGGGAGGCGCTGAGGCCAGGGATGAGGCGCATGCGCACCTCCACCAGGCAGCGGCGGGGCTGCTGCTGTGGCGGCGCCCGCGCAGGTAGCAGTAGCAGCAGCAGTGCGCGCCCCCGCGGCCTTGGCCTTGCGTGGCGGGAGGGCGGCGCGGGCGAGGAGTGCTGCGTGTGCGGCGGGTGGCGAGGCCGGGCGGGCGGCTCGCCCCACCAGCTGGCGGAGAGGTACGCGGACTTGGCCGCCAGCCAGGCGGAAGCGCTGAGGGCCGGGGAAGAGCGCGACCGGCAGAACCGGCGCCTCCGCGACGAGAACGCGCGGCTGAGGCAGGAGAACCGGCGCCTGCGCAGAGAAAACCGGAGCCTTTTCCGCCAGGCCTTGAAGCTCCAGTACCAGCGCGCGGAGGAGGAGGCGGCGGAAGCGGAAGCCGAGGGCGCCACTTCCGCTCAGGAAAAGCAGCCAGGGCACAAAAGGGAAGAGGGAGATGGCCAGGAAACCCAGTCGGCCTGAAGGGGGACAGAGTGGTCAACAGGCCTCGCCTGCCTTGCCTTTTCTCCCCAACATTCAGGAAGGGGCTTCATACTATCATTGAAATCCTGAAGCATCGCCTTGAGCCAGAGGAGCTTCACCTGATGAGTTCCAGTCAGGCCTCCTTATCCACTGGTTCAATTATCCACAGCTCCACCTGATATCTTCCAGTCAAGCCTCCTTATCCATGGGTTCAACTATCCACAGCACCTGATGTGTTCCAGTCAGGCCTCCTTATCCACTGGTTCAATTATCCACAGCTCTACCTGATGTTTTCCAGTCAAGCCTCCTTATCCACGGGTTCAACTAAACACAGCACCTGACATGTTCTAATCAGACCTCCTTATCTACAGGTTCAATTATCCACAGCTCCACCTGATATTTTCCAGTCAGACCTCCTCACCCACAGGTTCAGCTATCCACAGCTCCACCTGATATGTTCTAATCAGGCCTCCTTATCCACGGGTTCAATTATCCACAGCTCTACCTGAAATGTTCCAGTCAGGCCTCCTCATTCACAGGTTCAACTATCCACAGCTCCAGCTGATATGTTCCAGTCAGGCCTCTTTATCCACGGCTTCAATTATCCACAGCTCTACCTGATATGTTTCAGTCAAGCCTCCTTATCTGCAGGTTCAACTATCCACAACTTGAAGATAACCCAGAATAATTCCAAAATGTAAACCATAACATTGCTCTTTTATATAAAGGATACTATTTTCCAGTACCTTTATATATTATGGGATTCGCACATCTATGGATTTTTCTGTCCTGAGATACCAAGGGGCCACTGTACTTATTGTCCCTTTGCAACTGACAAGAGAACAATAATATACCCTGCACCCTCTCTGGGTGCCAAACACCATTGTCAGTGAGAATAAAAGCAAATGGGAAGCAGAAGTTTCGTGTCTCCTGCTTTGCTTGCTTGTACTGCATATGTTACAATTAGGGTTGCCTTGGCCCCTTCCACACAGTTGAATTAAATCTCAGTTTCTGGTTTGAACTGATATATATGGCAGTGTGGACTCACATAAAGCAGTTCAAAGCAGATTTTGTGGGATTTTCTGCCTTAATATTCTGAGTTATATGGCTGTATGGAAGGGCCCCTAGTTTTGCCTGATCCAGAAATATGAGGGCCTGTTGATGTGCCAGCTGGACACCTGCATTTTGTATTCCTTGCTTTTGTAACAAGCATCAAAATACTTCATGGATGATTTTTAATAATACAACAAGAATGTGGCATTAGTAGCACTCTTTTTGTAAAACTTGAATTGCTGTACAGGTTGAGCGTCCCTCATTCCAAAATGTGAACTTCAAAACTGTCTACGTGGGGGATTGAGATATTGCCACTTCTGCTTTTGGATGGTTCAATGGACACAAACATTATTTCATGCAAAAAATTATTGCAAATGTTATGTACAAAATAACCTACAGGCAATGTGTATGGGATGTATGGAAAACATCTATGAAGCAACAACAAATGGATGTTGTACAGAAGAGCTGATAGCTACTTATCAAATTGCAGGCACTATATGTTTTTTTTCTGGTTAACATATCTTTCCATGGTTGATGCAAAATGAATTTATAGCCTACTGACACTCACATCCCCTTTGGTCATTTGTAGGTGTTGATGTTTTGTGTTATCTATTTGCACTCATAATAAACTCTTTAAACATCCTTTTGATATGCTAAGGTATCATTCATTCAGTGAACAAATTAATATGAAATTAATACAAACTATAAAATTATTTTTAAAAGGGACTACTTTGAGCTTTAACCATTATTTAGTCAATTTCTATGTATTTTGCAGTTGGTGCTTCTGTAATATGAATGAAAAAAATGAACTGCAATGCACATTTTCCAATGCCATGTTTGTATGCAGTTGGGTTTCTTTAATCAGTGGTGTTTCCTTTAGCTTTTCATTCCTTGTTTTTCTAAGGCTAATCTTATATTCTTTATGATACTTTCCACAAATAAATTGAACCTGAGTAGATACAAAATCCAATCACTGTTTAACAGCTTCATTGTGTGTCCTCAAGTCTTCCAGCAACCTTAAAGTAACCCTATCGTGGGATATTATTGGCAAGATTTATTCAGAGGGGGTTTGCTTTTGCTTTCCTCTTATGCTGAGAGACTGTGATTGCCTAAGGTCATCCAGAATCTTAGTCCAAAACTCGAACTGCTACACCACAATGGCTGTAGCCAATCAGAAATAATTTTACTTCGTATGTCCTAACTTGCCTTTTGTCCAAAGTACAAATAACACATCAGGATGATCAAATGTTATGGCCCTTAAATTTCTTCATGATCAGTCCATATTTTTGGTGGTGTGAGAGACCTACCCAGTCAAAAGTCTTCTGTAATCTATGAGACAGATTTATTTTCACCTGAAATTGTATGGTGTGCTATATAAGCCACCATATATTTGCAATGTGGTTTCTCGTACCTCTTTTTCTGAGTCCAGTTTGAACTGCTGGCATTTCTCACTTCCTAAATAATAGCATACATTTTCTTCTGTAGGAAAGTGATGCTGTCATCGTATATTATTCTCATATCTCATGTCCTTTGGTCTATGGATCATTATTTGTTTTCATAGATTTTGTTAGAATTTAAATGGATTATATCTCTGTAACCTGAAAGAGTGTTTATTTGTATGCTTCCTGCTGTTGGGTTTGATTTCTCCCAAGTTTTTGACAGCATTTTTAAAAAAATAGGTTTCGTCATATAGGTTCTTTGATGAAACTTACCATTCTTTCATCTCTTTGATATGCAGTAATTCTTCAGCATGTTGCATCCATTTTCCTTTTACCTTGATTGTATAAAGTATTCTGTGGTTCATTCAGCATCCCTGTTCTTAGTTTAAATTTACTTTTTTCCTTTTTTGTTCCTGACAATTCTTAGTTTTTCTTTACTATTGCTTTCTGTTTCTTGGGATTGATTATTACAACAGCAATCTGTCTCTACATACATATTGCAAAGCAGTTGTATTCAGAATTCAAACTCAATTTCTTACTTTTAAAAAAGTTTCTTGTCTGTCTTAAACAATTTTGCCAGTCATTCAGTGAAATTGTTTCCTTTTGGCTTTTTGGTATTCTGGTTTCCAGTCAGTTAAGCAAGAACTTCTCCATCTTCCAGTTACAATCAATTTTATTTCTATATTGGCAGTCCAGCAAAATCCATGTATTGCATGTACACTATCATCTGTTCAGGTGCTTCAGGTCTATAGGTTTTGCTGTCTTGCTTCATTCTTGATCCTAGAATTCTTTGATAAGACTTGGTTCTATTCTGTTTCTTGCATTTTGCTCAACTACCGTATTTGTCTTTTTTGGGGAAACACAATCCCCCCCCCCCCAAAAAAAAGAAATCCTACCCACAGCCTCCTTAGCAGCATGCCCCTTCTGATTTAGAAATCCTTGTTTTATTATGGATTGCCTCAGAACAGTACTTTCAAGACAAAATATATTCAAAGGTAGTTTACCAGTGCTAAATAAATATAATAAAATAAAAGAATTGGCGTAAAAAGCTATTGTTGTTGTCTTAGTCTACCTGCATTATTTCCTGCTATTGCTGCTGTCTAATGGAACTTCTCCACTGTCTTATCAATTCTCATCTGCCAGTACAGCAATTTTTCCATGAAAAAGGTGGATGCATCTCAGTCTAGCATCCAATTAATTTCCACTTTGAGCATCCTGCTTCGAAAGGGTATGCTAGCTGTCTAGACTTCACAGTCTAGTCTTTTGATAGCATTAATCTTAAGCCTTGCAGACTCACTTAACCGATCTCATTGTGTTAAGGTATGTGTTCATGAAAGAGCAAGTTCATCCTTACTACTATGGAATGTACCTTCACAACTGATGTGTGAATACAGTATGTATTTTTCTTCCCCATCCAAGAAATATTGTCTTAGGTCTTTTAGATCAAAGCTATTCTGATGTAGTCCATGGACCAGTGCTGATCTAGTCTACAACAAGTTTCCAGAAAAGAAAGAAATAGTTAAAATCATGGAGATAACGATAGTGCCTGTCTGCAGCACAATCGGGGAAAAATGCTACTTTCCCACATTAGATGCTTTATCTAATCTAAAATTGTTTGTTTTTTTGTAGTTTTCAGGGGAATCCCTCCTCCTGGTATATGTATATACCGTATATGTATGTGTGTGTGTAAAATTTAAGCCTTATTTAATTGGGCTTTCTCCAGGAAAGTATTTAGTACTGAAGCCTAAATCATCACTCCAGAAACCCCCTTGGAGTTGAAGAATAGCATGCTTTTTTAGACCCCTATATGAAAATGACTCTCACTCTTTCTCTAGGATCTATTTTCAAGTGGGACAGATTAATCAGTTTATTCTTTGAGATGGGTAGAACACCTTCATAATAAAGAATTAATCAAATCTTCTCTAGAATCAGGATAAACATCACTACCATTGAGAGAGTGGACCTGTGACAACATGATGGATATGGTCCCAGTCGCCTTGCACTGTTGACCTTTTTAATTGGGCTTCTTAAATGTTTTATGCAATCAGAAGGAAATTCAATCAGCATTGGGAACTGCTGATTCCTATGAAAAGAGGGATAGTTTGATAAAGCTTATAATGTCACCTACAGTATCAATGCACATTAGCCAGAGTGCAAGAATCACAGTGTGCCTGTCCTCTGTGGTCCTGCATACTGAACAGTGTGGCAGTGAATAATAAGAGGCTGATTATTCAAAATACTCTTCTCCCCATGGGTGTAAATGATAAACTGCTCCATTAAAAACATCATATTCTTGTGCCAGTGGTAGCCTTGCATCAGTCAAATGAGTAGATACAAAAACTGGAGAGGTATGTTATATTTTAGTGGGAATGGGGCAGGAGCAACTTATTCCCTGTCAGTAGGGCAGCAAAAATAGGGGGCAGACCTACTACTAAGACCTACTACCTAGCTTCTTTAAAATTCAGACTAAAACCTGTATCGAATTCATCACCCCACTAACTTGTAAGTTTCCAGCTAATGTTTAGAACGGGCTGGTTTGAAAATTTCCTTTATGAACTGAACCTGGGATTAGGATCCAATTATCTCCTAGATGTTTTGAACTGCAACCAAAAGTTACCAAGCCTGTTCTAAGGGTATATCTACACTGTAGAATAATACAGTTTTATGCCAATTTTAACAACCAAGACTTGATGCTATGGGAGCATGGGAGTTGTAGTTTCACAAGGGTTTTTTTTTCATTTTCTGTTAAAGGGTAGTTCCTCACCAAATTGCAATGCCCAGAATCCCACTGCACTGAGCCATGACAGCTAAAGTGGTATCACCTGCATTAATTCTATTATTTCAATGCACCTAAAGTAATCCAAGTTGGATCTGTAGTAGCTGCTGCTGCTGCTCCTGTTTAGGGTGGGCTTCAGTAATCACAATGCTATTCTATGTCAGACATTTTGGCATTCTCCCCTCATATGTTTCTTGCCTTTGACTACCAGGTGTCATAACTCAGAGTGCAAAAAGGAGTTCTACTCACCTATTGGAGTAGGGGCATGGGAACGTTTTGGGTTTGTTTGTTTGTTTGTTTGTTTTTGTTCAAAAGACTGTTTGAAAATCTTAATGCTTCAGTACTTTAAAGAAATGAACCAAGTTAGATCTTTAGGCCTGCGGTAAGTGGTACCATATTCAAATGCAGAGATCAGAAGTTGTTGGTTGGACTGTGCTGGCCATGGTTGCTAGGGAGACTTTTTGAGCTGTAGTTACACATTGTTAAGAGACAATTAAACAACCTTGCCATTAATCAACAGTTTAAATCGATATAAAATCATTGTAAAACTCAACAATAAAAGTACAGCATAGGCCACCCATTAAAAGGCTTTACTGCACAGCCAATTAAGTTAACCAAGTACTTGTTGGGATAGAAAGATCTTTTAAATGCTTGCAGAAGAATAGCAGAAATGGGGCAAACTTTTAGTCTTTTGTGGGACAGAATTTCTCAGCCTGGAACCAGCCATTAAGACCTCTCCTACACTACCTTATAAAATCCTGATTAGACTCATACAGTCCCGTTCAAAGCAGATAATGTAGATTGTTTGATTTGATCATCTGGATTATATGGCAGTGTAGAAGGGGCCTAAGAAGGCTCTTTCTCATGTTATTACCAAACTTACCTTTGAGGATCTTAAAACATTGGCACTTCATCTAATAACACCTTGCCTTTCTCTCCATATGGGACTCAAGGTGCTTAACAATTCTGTTAAAAATGCCAGTATCATCAAGGTCGTCTGAAGTGTTTAAAACTAGAAAAGAGACAGGGAAAACAAAAGGATGAAAACTATCCAGTTTCAATGTTTTCAACAGATTTTAAACCATGGGAAATGTTTGGGAGGGGGAGATAAATAGTGAAATATATATGTAAATTGATTGATTGGCTGATTGATTAAATAAAATATTCATATGCCATCCTGTGTGAAAAAAAAAGATCTAAAGGAGATGTACAATAAATCAATTTTAAACAAATTGATGCAATTCCCCCTATTAAAAACAGTAAAAAAATAATTCGAGTCATCTAAACAATGTGACAATTTAAAATGAGTTTAAAAGGCTTACAACATTGTACAAGATTACTAAGACCCACCTTCATCTCTCCTTACCTTTTCTTTCGACTCTACAGTAAATGCAGTAAGCTTGATTTACTTTAGCATTCAGGTAAGG